TATTTATGAAATAAACTTTTATTTTAAAATTTTTATTCACATACATTTATGCACATGCAATAAAACTAGTATATAAAGAAGTCATAAAAAAAAATTTAAGAAAAAAAACATCACAAAATAATGCTTAAGCAAGTTGATTCAGACTAATGAATAGTATGTAATGAAGCTTAGAACATGACTTCAATTAATTCTCTCTCTCCTCGCTCTGAGCGCCGTCAAGGCGATTTAGGGTTTTCTTCGTGGTGCGAGTAATTTTGTGCTCGATCCTGCCATTTTCCTTGCGTGGATCTCGCTGGAGTTGGTGTTTTGTGAGTTTCCTTTGCTTCTTTGCCCTTTCGGGCTGTCGGAATGGCTGGAGCTCCTCCTTCCAACCCGTGGGGGAAGATCTCGAGCCCGATTCAAGGCTTAAACAGGGGCTTTTTTGCTTTAGAAGGAGAGGATGCAGTTTCTTCGCCTTCTCGTTCCTTTAAGGATGTTCTTGCTGCTGATCCGATGTCAGGTGACAAAATCCCTAACTTAACTCAATCGACGTTTAATGGAGTTCCGGCTGTTCAACTTTCGGACGAAGATGTCCTCAAACTTGCTTCTCCATTTCAGTTCACCTTGGTAGGAAAGTTTGGTTTGCGTAGACCGAATCTCGACTCTATTCGTAGTTTTTTCGGTAATTTGAAGTTATCTGGTTTCTTTTCTGTTGGTTTAATGGATTCTCGCCATGTTGCTATTCAGCTTTCTAATGATCTAGATTATAGTAGGATTTTTGCTAGAAGGGCTTATTTCATTAACAACTGTCAAATGCGCGTTCTTAAATGGACACCTTTTTTCGATGTTAAAGAGCAATCTCCCATTGTTCCAATTTGGATCTCTTTTCCTAACCTAAGATTGCATTTTTTTAACCCAAAAGTGTTGCATGCATTAGGATTGATTTTTGGTAGACCGCTTCAAACTGATCAGGCAACTGCTGCTAGAACTCGACCTTCTGTTGCTAGAATTCTGGTGGAAGTTGATATTTCAAAAAAACATCTGAAAGAGGTTTGGGTGGGTTCTAAAGCCTTTGGTTACCTTCAAAAAGTTGAGTTTGAAAAAACACCGGATTTCTGTCAAAACTGTAAGATTCATGGTCATTCTGTTACTGAGTGTTTCAAGTTGCATCTGCATCTTAAAAAAACTATTGCTCAAAATAAAGTGGTTTCGGTTTCTGAAGAAAATCTCGTTGAATTACCTTCCAATAATGCTGAAATCCCTGTGAATTTAGAACAAAATTTAAATACGGTCAATGTTTCTGTTAGCCCTACTGTTACAGAGAATCCGAAAAATAAATTTTCGGTGTTAGATAACATTAATGAAGAAAATGAAGTAATCTCTAATGTCTGTACGAAGGAACCTGACATTTATATATCGATAAACTCTATGCTTAATTTGACTAAAGATATGCTTGATCATACTCATAAACAGGTTGAGGTTTCGAATGAGCATGCTAGTGCAGAAAAACAGAGATGTGAGGAAGGGGAATTTATCCCCAACTTAAACAATGAAATGGATCTTTACGAGGTGGCTGGTAATATCATGGAGAATAAAGAGGATAGCTTTACTACTAATGAAGTTGGTAAGCTTTCTTCCTGTGATGAAGATGGGGAGTTCATTAAGGTGGGAAGGAAAAAGGGTAAGAATATCTTACCTTCGACGCCTCGTTCAACCCGTGCTAAAAATTCTACAAAATCTTTTAATGGTTAACACACTTATTTGGAATATAAGAGGTATTGGTGGTAAGGAATCTTTTTTTAGAGCTAAAAACTTATGTAGAATTTATAATATTCAGACTCTTGTTTTACTTGAACCTTTTCTTGCTAGAGATAAAATTGCTATTACGGCTAAAAAATTAGGTTATTCTGAATATTTTGTTAACTGTTCTAATAAAATTTGGATATTCTGGAAAAATTTTATCAATTTAAACATTCTTGATGATTTTCATCAAGTTGTTCATGTTAACATTTCATTTTTCAATTTCAGTTGTAAAGCTTCTTTTGTTTATGCTGCCAGCACTAGCTCTGGTAGGGCTGTTTTATGGGATCAATTAAAGAATTTTGCCATTAATTCCAATCTGCCTTGGTTAGTTGGTGGAGATTTCAATATTATTAGCAATATTAATGAGAGAAGAGGGGGTAGATCTCCAAATGTTAATGCTATGGAGGATTTTAACTCCATGATCAATAATTGTCAACTGAATGATATTGGTTTTTTTGGTAACTCTTTTACTTGGAACAGAGCGAACCTTTGGCAAAGACTTGATAGAATTTTATTTAATAATGACTGGCTTAATAGTTTTCCCTTATCTCAGGTGGAACATCTGAGTAGAGCTACTTCTGACCATGCCCCTTTACTGTTGAGTATCAATACGAAGCGCAATTTTACCCCTTCCAATTTTCTTTTTCAGAACATGTGGCTATCTCATATAGAATTTAACAACGTTATTAATTTTAATTGGTCTGCTTCCATTGCTCCGGATAATGATATTGGGGGTATGCATAGATTGTGGGCTAAATTGCAAAGATTGAAGCAAGTTTTAAGGTGGTGGAATAAGAATGTTTTTAAAAACATTTTTGCTAACATTAAAGATACCGAAAAGGAGGTGATG